TTCGTCCTATATCAATTCTGCCGTTCCTCTCTAAAGTTTTAGAAGCCTGTGTTCATAAGCAAATCACTACGTTCATCTTGAAATATAACCTACTGAGTCCACTTCAGTCCGGGTTTCGTTCAGGTCACAGCACTACCACTGCTTTAATAAAAGTCACTGAAGACATTAGAAAAGGTATGGACGAAAAAAAGATAGCAGTGCTAGTTCTAGTAGACTTTTCTAATGCTTTTAACACAGTTGATCATGATATCCTTCTTTCCATCCTATCCCATCTTAATTTTAAGCCCACTGTCTTAGATTGGTTTGCATCATATCTTCGCGGGCGTCAGCAGTCAGTTCACGTAGGTCAGATGACCTCAGCTTGGGCTGAAGTTGAATGTGGCGTACCGCAAGGCGGTATACTCTCTCCTATCATTTTCTCAGTTTTTATAAACTTGATTACTCATAATCTTGATTGCTCGTATCATCTGTACGCCGATGATCTGCAGCTATATGTGCATTGTGGCGTTGAAGAACTACATAATGGCATTCACAAATTAAACCAGAATTTAGATACAATTAAAGATTGGTCCTCGCGCTACGGAGTCTGTGTGAATCCAGTAAAATGCCAAGCGATTTTAGTGGGAAGTAAAAAGATGCTGGCTAAGGTTAATCAAGCAGACTTACTTCCTGTTTGCTATGATAATATCATTATTCCATTTAGTGAGTCTGTTAAAAACCTTGGCTTGTATATTGATAGCTCTCTGAACTGGAAAGTGCAGGTTACCGATTTAAGTCGGAAAGTCATTGCTACCTTACGTTCCCTTTATCGTCTCAAATACTTCCTTCCTATTAAGTCTAAGCTCATGCTTGTCCAAACTCTTATTTTACCTATCTTTGATTATGCAGATGTGTGCTACCCAGACCTGTCCCAAGAACTTCTTAACAAACTGGAGCGCCTGCTTAACAACTGTATTAGATTTATTTTTGGTCTGCGTAAGTATGACCATATTTCTCATTATAGACCTCAGCTTAAGTGGCTTACCATAAAGCAAAGGCGCAACTCCAGAATACTACTTGTTCTTTTCTCAATTCTTAATGATCCATATTCACCTTCTTACCTCAAAGAACGATTTCAATATCTTTCTTCCTGTCATGATAGGGTTCTTCGATCTTCCTCTAATAACAAGATTTATATTCCTACTCATCTTACCGGGTTCTATGGTAACTCCTTCACTATACAGGCTGCACGTCTTTGGAATTCCTTGCCTGATGATATCAGAAAAGCACCTAACAAATACTCCTTTAAAAAGAAGGTACGCGAGCATTTACTGAATAATCATTAGAATTACAAAATTGTTAATTAATCATTTTTATATGTATGTATTAACTTAGTATTTATGTATATTTGTATCCATATACATGTATTTATGTATGTTTATATTTGTATATTATTAAGCATATAAATATATTTATATTATGAATATGTGTTAATATATGTAAATATGCAAATATATATTTATATATATGCATTTACTTATAATATTATATTATAATCTGTTGTTACATATAATGTGTATTAATTTTAGTTTGACATTTTTTTTCTTTTTATTGCTACGCCTACGACAAACTCTCACCACTCCATGGGTTGACTGGTAGAGAATGCCTTGAGGCATTATGTCCGCCCCTTGTATCCTTTTTTTCTAAAGGGACGCAATAAATATTTAATGTATGCATTAAATAGATTATAAATGACGATTTTTGTTACTTAATCGCAAAGCAAAAAAAATACCTTCCTATTTGTAATATTTACAAATAGAAAGACATATTTTATAGTTAAGACTTCTTTATTCTATAATAAAAACTAAGGAACTAAGAGAAAGACAAGGACAAGCAAGCACAGTACATAGACATCTATATATAAAATTTATTAAGAATTAAAATTCAGATGCATTGTCACTCTAAGGACAGAGATAGAATGCCTCGTTTCCAGTAAAAAGGGTCTACAGTCACCATACGAAATACAGCAGCATAAAGCTGGTGTTTCACGCTGGTATTATATGAGAGTTAGTCCCTTTCCAGGTGAAGGCAAATTCATGCTACAACTATAATATAGCTGCAATATGGCTCTACAACTTAATAAGGCATGCATTAGTTGTCGAAATTATACGAAATTTCGTACACATATCTCTTATTTCTTACTATCGATGGAGAAAATCTATCACTACAGGTGTTATTCCTTTATTTTGATACTTTTTTTAGACTTTGGAAACGACGGTCATTAATACTGTATCTGACTAAATAGAAATTGATTTCCGTGACGTCACCGTGCACATAACTTAGCACAATCACTGTGGACAAAAAATATGCGACAACGTCAAAGTTCACGGCGTTTATGCAACATGTGGAGACAACAACCATTAGGAGAGAACTGTGTTAATCGAATATGTGCAGGCGGTCCCAAACTAGATAGAGTAATGACCTGGCAAGAGATGCAGGAAGTTTATGGATGCAGGTGGCTTAGAACCGTGCTTTGTGGCATCCCTTGTAGACGGCCAATGTTTGGCTGTGACCTTGTAATGAGCTGTATTGATGTTGATGATGATGAATAGAATATGAAAAAGAAGTGTGTACCTGGTACGATGCTTTTCAATTATTTCAGGGCAGTTAAATCGATCATGCAAGTAATAAAAAAAAACAAACACATATTCATCAACTTCTTAGAGTCTTTCAAATTTAAAAAAATCAACATTTTTCAATGTACGCGGTAGCCAATGTCGAACATTTGAAATTAAGATGCTTAAACCGTTTTTTGCATATACTTAATTCGTTTGATGTGAACATCGAAGCAATGAGACCATATGAGACTCACGTGCACCAAAATGGCAATAATTGAAGGTACCTAAATACAGTACTTAAACGGTTCATAAGTTTGTGTAATGAAGTAACAAATTTAAACACTAAAAGGTGTATTTTCGTATTCGGACACACAAACCAGCAGAGATGAAGGTTCGTGGAGAATGAAGATGGGGCCAGCGACGACAACCTAAACATGGTGTGCATAGTTATTATTATAGATATAGATGCTCCTAGAGTAGTTAGTAACGGAGATGTCGTTTTCATTTTCACTTTTGCAACCGCCAAATCTTACTATGTCATTCTTTGACGATAAGAAGATAAGCCCAAGATGCTACATTGAAACAGCGGTCAAATGGAATAATACTGAAAATTGATAGATTTATATGTCGTTGATAAATGTTGACTATGAAGCGAGCTGATAGCGTCAATCATTTGTCTACTATATGCAATAATAGTAAAAAGAAACTTTATTTCTTTAATAATATTATCTTACAACTAATATTAGCAGGTGTTTCCTATTAAGTTAAAAATAGCGTCGCTTTTCCTCAACTTTTATAAGTTATAAAAAAGTGGAGTTCTACAGGGCGAACATCTGGCGATGAAGAGCTACTCCTTTGCTCATAAGGGTGTAGACTACTTCAGGCCTATGTCAAAAACCGGAGGAAGAACAACAGAAAAGCCATGGGGTTTGCTGTTAACATCATTTTTAACTACTAATGTAGTTCATCTGGGACAGGCAGATCACAAACTGAATATTGACGTTGTGAAGATTTTGTCACGAAGAGAAGCTCCGCAAACCATTAACAGCAATAATGGAACGAATTTACCTATACTTAAATCGTGACAGAGTTTTTCGTTCTTCATCTTAACTAAATATTACAGTTCCACTACACTTCTCCAGTTTTATCGCCAACTCCTTTATTTTTAAAGAACTAGAACGAGATGGCACTAATTAATACTATATATTGATCAAAATGTTAAAATTTAGCATACCGTTGATTAGATCAACTAAGTCACACACATGAAAATTCTTCTTAAGCTACTAATATTCTACTTAATGGTTTTTTATTCACCCTTATCTTAACAAAAATGATGCACAGCAATAATAGGGAAGCAATGGAATGCACAATTTGTAATGTTATAAACATTTTTTATTTTCGTTCATTATATACTATCCTTGTGAATTTTAGTTAAATTTTATACTTCTCACACTATCTTTTCTTACTGTCCGCGAAATGGAAACTAGCAAACTTTACGGATCAAGATGGAGATAATTAAACCGAATTATATGTTTATCATTTTTTTTAGGCATAAGAATTTGTTTGATAGCGGGTTGGTACACTTCACGGGCGGCAAGGCAACATTGCGCGTGCTTAAGGGTACGCAGCCCGCACCATAAACCATTCGTTCGCAAGTGGATGCCGAACTCGACACAATGATGCAGCCTCACTAAGCCTGTCTACTGTTCTAACTGGGCGTTATTACTGGAAGTATTAGTAAATATATCGTTATCTTAATTATAAATTACTAATTAAAATATTGTCTTGAATAAAAATATGAAGTATATTTATATCCAAGACAATATTTTAATTAAATGTATCATTCCAAAATTATATATCGTATTTCAGTTCATAATTTATGAATATATTATATTACACAAACGTGCAACAATGGCTCTGTTCTTTTCGAAATGTAATATTGAGAAAAAGAGATCATATCTAAAATACAAACATATAGAAGAGGTACGTAACGACAGCAATGTAAATGATATAGCAAAAATAAGATTTTTTTCCGTAAGTCCGTACCTCACTTGTACTTAAGACACGATAAACTGATAAAAATGACAGTAACAATAACCAGTAAACATCTACAGCCAAGACCTTACTTGACCTCTCAACTAACATTCAATCTTTTATCCCAACGTATATCATTATACAACTTGAACTCTGCTGGATTGCTGTTTCTAAGATCAAAGCAAATAATTTATCCTTTATGCAATATAAACTTGTAATAATATATTTACTTTAGAATCTCTAAACATCCACACCGTTATCGTTATCTATCTAATCGTTCATTCCTGGTCAATATAAACCGAATCCGAGACGTAACGGTATCAGACGTCTTTGATTTATTGTTATGAAAATAATCTAAAAACTGTTAAAATGAAAATAATTTTAACTTTGTATTGTGCTATAGTGTTGACTACGTTCATTGAAATAAATCAAGTGCATTCATTAAATATATTAGGAGTGTTTCCATTCCCAGGAAAAAGTCACTTCTTTGTGTTTGAAACGTATTTAAAGGCGTTATCGAAAAAAGGACATAATATGACCGTAATATCATATTTTCCACAAAATCAACCTATAGAAAATTATCATGACATAAGTCTAGCGGAAAAATTAAAAGATATAGAAGGTGAATTCCCTGATGAAAATTCGTTTTGGAATATTTTAAAAGTTGCTTCCTCCCTCGTAGAGCTGGGAACGAAGAATTGTAAAACTTTGCTGGAAAACAAAAATGTACAAAATTTATGGAAAACGAAGTCCAAATTTGATGTTGTGGTTACAGAGCAGTTTAACAGTGACTGTTCTCTAGGATTAGCGCACGCATTAAATGCTCCTGTAGTTGGTCTTACTACCCATGCTTTGATGCCATGGCATTTCAGCAGATTTGGTGTTCCTTTCAATCCTTCATACGTATCGTTTATGTATTTGAATGGTGGAACTAAACCCACTCTATATCAGAGATTAAAAAGTGTTATAATCAGTGCGTATTTAAGGTTAATTTATAAATATCTCGGTCAAAGAGTAGAACAAAACACGCTTGCACAGTATTTTGATGATATTCCTCCTTTAGAAGAACTGGGCCGTAACATCAAATTTCAACTATTGTACACCAATTTTGTTCATTTCGGCTCAAATATCTTCCCTCCGAATGTGATAGAGGTTGGTGGATATCATGTTGCAAGTCCTAAGCAATTGCCTGATGTAAGTTTAAATTAACTATAATTTAGAAACACAAAACACCCATAACATTTGATAAATTAATAATATGTTAAGTAATACAATTTTTTTATTGAGGTTTATTAGAAAACTAGAAGAATTACTAATTAAATCTAATATATAACTAATCAGATCTCCTTACAATACAGCTTATCAAAAGTCCACTGTCTAATATAGCCCATAGATTGCCTCAGGGGGATATTTGCCATAGTTGAACTTGGCAAGTTTGACAAGTGGGTTGGCAACCGCAGTTTGTTAATTTTATATATATGTTACCAGGAAGAAGAAGGAAGAAGTGGCTGCTGCCTATCTCCTGGTTCAATTTCCCTTTATTGCCTCTTACGACACCTACAATACAATAATGTCAGAATGGGATTTTCGACTAAGGCGACAAATATCAATAATCGATTAACACCACCTAAAGCAGATGATGATGAATATTTTCATCAACCTGTTTACATGTTTTTTTTATTTCATTGGGGTTTGAACATGAGGACCCATGACGTAATAGCTTGCAAGTCTCGCCATTACAGCACGTAGTTATCATTTCATATTTAACGATATTCTGCAAAACTTGAGTGGGATTCTAGACACTCTATGTAAAATGTAAAAAGTAAAAATTTAGATAATAACAACGATTTGTTTCAAAATAGCTTCTGCATACCTATATAACACTAAAAACTACATTGAAATGTTCCTTTCAATCCTTCATACGTACGCCAAATACAAACACTACAGGAAATTTTAGGATTATAGTTTTTACAACAAAAATGACGCTACTGTAATGTACCTAATTAGTAACCCTTAATCCTCGTTCTTAGGAATTACGTAAGTTTATCGAAGCATCTCAACACGGGGTAATATATATAAGTTTTGGATCTATGCTAAGAGCAGCTTCAATGTCTAGAAATCAATTAGAAACTATTTTAAGCACACTTTCAGAGCTTCCTCAAAGAGTTATTTGGAAATGGGAAGAGGACTCTATACCTGGAAATCCGAAAAATATATATATATCTAACTGGTTACCGCAAAATGACATTCTAGGTATAAAAGCATTATTTCAATAAATACATCCAGAACCTTGCTTCAGTCGAAGTTTTTAATATTTTTTTAATGTTAATCGACAGCTCATCCGAATGTGATAGCGTTTTATTCACACTCTGGACTACTAGGGACTACAGAAGCACTGTATCATGGAGTCCCAGTATTAGCAATGCCTATTTTTGGAGATCAACCATCAAATGCTGCAGCAATTGAAGAAAGTGGTCTCGGGGTTCAAATTGACCTTAAAGAGCTCACAAAAGAAAATCTTCTTAAAAAGTTCAGGACGATTCTAGATCCCCGGTAAGCCGACAATTGTTTAACTATTTAACGTAAATTTTATTTCATTTTAAACATATCCGCCTTCTTTTAAACAGTTGTTAATTTATAAGTAACAAGTGACTGTCTATAAGATTGACACTTTTGTTTCAAAATACCTATGTAAAAGTGCCGATATTTGAGAAATACATAAACATGTTGTTCCCTAGCATATGCTAATAGATAAAATTGGATGCACAGGTTTCAAGCCAACGTTAAGTTGCTATCACAAGCGTGGCGCGACCGCCCGACATCAGCTATGGAAAGTGCGGTACATTGGACGGAATTCGCCGCTCGCTATCAAAACTTCACGTTCAGATCTGCAGCTGCTGACGTGCCTTTCTACCAATACTTATGTCTGGATATTTTCTGTATTTTACTTGGTATACCTGCAGCAATAATTTGTATAATCTTAACGTGTCTTTTGAACTATAAAATAAAATCTAAGAAAAAGTCTAAGAAAGAATAAAAATACTAAGAATTCATAAAATATTAATAAGTTTCGTTAAAATAGAATAATTTATAATATATCCTCTTGGTAATTATTTATTTTAAATATTTCCATTGTCTGCTTGAAATATCTACATAGCGACTGCTTATCTATATGATTATTTGTTATCTAGTCAATTTCAATAGACTTGTCACATACAAACAACGGCATATAAATTCACTTTGTTGTGGAAGCATAAGTAATAGAATTTATAACACTATTGCGTACCACAAATGTAAGAAAGACCCCATGACTTCTGACAGATGGCGGTGTAATCACCTGACACATGTAAAATACCCAGACAACTGTCGGAGATTAGCATCAAAGGTGCGAGATTTCTGCCTTTTTGGGTGTGTTAAAAAGGATGGCATGCATGCAAAAAGAGCATTAAATATTAAAACACATTCTTAAAGCTGATAGTAATTCATAATGAGTATAGATGAATATAAAAAAGTCATATAGAGCTGCAACATAATAAGCATTTTAATATTTGTCGGCCTTTAAAAAAATCTGAGTTTTCAAAACCTGAAGTAATATTGAAGAACATATAAATTTACATATAAATTTATTTTAAATGTCGGTCTATAATATCGAAAGAACTGTTTTTTATTAAGCTGAGAGCATGTCATTAAGACATGAATAACCATTTTTTAAATTTTTCTTTGTTTATCTGTCTATCAGTCTATCAATCTATCTGCTAACCGGGCTAATCAGAATGATTGAACCGATTGTAATGTAACTTCACAAATAGAACAACGCCACGTGTGACCTAGGGTATATTTCATCATAAAAAAAAATAGTCTTTGGTGATTTTTTTCTTCTTTAGGAAAAAATAGTCTACTTGTGAGTTTTTTGCCGCATCTTTTCACAATATCCCCCTCAGTAGCGACTTATTGAAGCGGTGGCGTAACTTTTGACTTTAAATAATTGTTTTTCTACTTGGTAGAGCCACGCTGCTGCTATATTATGGTTGCAGCACGAATGGGTCAGCTCAACCGTGGTAGGACCACGCTCTGACAGAATAGAGTGACTAGGCATTTCATCTCAGTCCTCAGGGGTACAACTGTAGATGTCTATGGGCCACAGCCATCATACCATCAAGTGGACTGTGTACTCGTTTGTCACCCTTATTCTATAAAGAAGTCTAATTTTGAATAAAAATATTTTGACGTTGACTTTAAAATCCCACGATAGAAATCGTTCTAGTATGTAGTAAAATAGATTGAATAATTTTAATACTAATAAACCTAAATAGTTTTAATATACTACGTTTTTTGTCATCCGATTCTGAGATCTTCAAAATTTTAAATCTTTTTTGGGAAGTCAAAGTCCAAGTTGAAGTCCTACAAACACGCTAAGTGTTTGTAGGACGTCGATTCAGCCGCGTAACTAGATTTAGTCCAGTGAGCAGTGCAGCTGCAACTAGTTTAATTGTACGCATAGGATCATGTAGAGGCTGGCAAGAATACCCACTACCCCATATCTTCCCGTGGGTGTCGTAAAATGCGACACAGGGAAACTGAGGTATAAGATGGGCAGCAGCATCTTTCTAAACAGCAAATTAACAATAAAAAAGCGTGGAAACTATAGCAATATACCCCCACGATAGTAACGAAGAGACGGCCCCAGTACCCGGCGACCCCGCTATCCCTGCATACGGCGGCAACCATAGTAACGGTGCGGCGGTGCAGGGGGTGCTAGGAATCTCCGGTAGAGACTCGGTTGCCACCTAAAATGACTCAACCTGGCAACATATAACGCACGCACCCTGAATACTGACGAGAAGATCCTGGAGCTGGAAGAAGAGATAGACAAGTTACAGTGGCATATTATATGATTATCCGAGGTCCAAAAAGAGGTAGGACGCGGTAATCCTAGAATCCGGCAACTTGTTCGTTTACCGAGAGGGCGACCAAATGTCCTACGGAGGTGTCGGATTCGTTCACAAGTCTCTCGTTAACAATGGTGTAAATATTGGGAGCGTGTCGACAAGGGTTGCGTACCTTATACTCATAATCACTAAATGGTATTCAGGACGTCAGTCTGAGCGGGATTAGATTGGCTCTACAGCACCTTAAAAACGGCAAGTCCCCGGACGAGGTTAGAATTACAGCGGAGCTCCTGAAAGCGGGTGGTAAACCGGTACTTGAAATCCTTCAGAGGCTCTTAAATTCCGTCCTCCATGGTGACACTACACCGGATGTGTGGAGATGAAGTGTAGTGGTCTTGTTCTTCAAAAAAGGCGACAACGCTCTCTTGAAGAACTATAGACAGATTTCCTTTCTGAGCTACGTCTAAGTACTGTTTTCGAGAGTCATTACGAATCGTCTCACATGCAGACTCGACGATTTCTAGCCACCTGAACAAGCCGGCCGAAAAGGTTTTAGCACCATAGACCACATACATACCCTTCAGCAAATTGTACAAAAGACCGAAGAGTAAAATCTACCACTATGTCTTGCGTATGTAGACTATGAATGACTATTCCATCGAAATGTGGATGATGCTGTTGTCCTTTCAGCGATACCGAGTTGACTCTCGATATATCAAAGTGCTGAAGTACTTATACAGTAGGACTACAATGGCTATCTGTGTACAGAACCATAGTAGGAAACCCATACACCTGCAGAAAGGTGTAAGACAGGGTGATGTATATTCCCAAAACTTTTCAACGCTTCATCGGAAGACATTTTAAGCTACTGTACTGGAAATTATACAGCACTAAAATCAAAGGCGAGTACATCACTCACCGTCAATTTGCCGACGATATAGCTCTTATGGCGGAATTGCTGGACGACCTAAGCACTATGCTCAATGACCTTAATAGTGCCTCCCAACGGATAGGTCTTAAGATGAACATGAACAAATTAAAGATCATGTGTATCTTTCATTTCACACCTATACAACTACTGAGTTGTTGGGAGCACTAAGCTCGAAGTTGTTGACGAGTATGTTTACCTGGGACAAATAGTCCGACCAGGTCATTCCAACTTCAACCAAGAGTTCAATTTACGGATTGAACTCTGCTGGCCAGCGTTTGGGAAATTACGACACATCTTCTCGTTAGGTATACCTCAAAACTTGAAAATGAGATTGTACAACCAGTGGTCTGTTACAGGTAATGACTTATGGATGTGAGACGTGTTCCTTCATTGCTGGCTGTATGAGGAAGCTCAAGGTTGCTCAGCGAGCTATGGACAGAGCTATGCTCGGAGTTTCTCTGCGTGATCAACTTAGAAAAGAAGATATCCGTAGTAGAACCTGAGTAATCGTCATAGCCACTAACAAGTAAGCTGAAGTGGCAGTGGGCGGGCCATATAGCTCGAAGAAACGACAAACCGATGGGGAAAAAAGGTTCTCGAGTGGCAGATTTGTATCGGTAGCGAAGTGTAGGGTGACCCCCTACTATATGGAGTGACGACCTGATAAAACATGCTTGAAGTCAATGGATGCAGGTGGCTCAGGACCGTGCTTTGCAGCATTTCTTGGGGGAGGCGTATGTTCAGCAGTGGACTTGTCAAGGGCTGTTATGATGATGATAATGATGATAGGACCGCGTGGACTTATATTTAACAGAGTGAAACGCCTGCGTATGGCTACTCTGCTCCGATCCGCCGGTGTCACATGTTGGAGATTAATTCGTTTTCATGTAAAGACATACATGAAAGCGAATAAATAAAAACGTGACTTAGTGATGAAATTGTTGTATGAGTTCTTCTTGCTGGTTTAACAACGATTACAACTTCTGGCCCCTAAGCTCGAATTTCTGAGACTAAGGTTTTCATAACGGCATAGGTTTAAATTGCATGAAAATATGAACAGTGCCCCTGGTAAACATAAACAGGCAATGTAACTTTAAGTAATCATTCAATGATACATATTTGACACATTAGAAAACTCATACGTAGTATCTTATAGTACTACAATTGTACGCACTGTTTTTATAGGAAAAGGGAAGCAAAAAAAAAACAGGGGCTTTCGTGATGGTACGTAATAGCCGCCGGTCATGAGAGGAAGCGCAGGTACTCGTATGTTCCCAGCCTTTAAAAATGCAGTAAACTCTTTTCTTGATGGACCTGAGTTATAACAGTTCTTGACCGCCTAGTTTTCGGATGAAATGGATGTTAGTGTAAATTTTCTCACGAAGAGTAATATTAAATTCCACTTATCTGTTACAATTTCTTGAAGTACTCCCCATGGTAAAAGCAATAAGAAGTTTATAAAGATGTACCGTGTCTTTGCAAGAGCAGTGGGTCAGCTGTCGATGTCGAGGGCGGCAGAATTCATTTTCTACCCATAATGATATATCATTATATAGCTTACCGTATTGCTTGAATGATTGAAATTTATGCTAATTCGAATAATCGGTAAAAATATTCGAATAATTGCACCTTTATATTTTTGAAGTGAAAACTACTTTAGAATCGTTGCGATCAAAACTTTTTTTTATACTAGAGGGGGCAAACGAGCATGCGGCTCACCTGATGGTAAGTGACTACCGCCGCCCATGAACAACTGCAACACCAGGGGAATCGCAGATGCGTTGCCGGCCTTTTAAAAGGAGTAGGCTCTTTTCTTGAAGGTCCCTAAGTCGTATCGATCCGGAAAAATCGCTGGTGGTAAACTATTCCACAAGGAAGTTGTGCGAGGAAGAAAACTTCTTCTAAATCGCACAGTGGTGGACCACCAATCATCCAGATGGTATGGATGGTATCGCGAGTTTTGTCGCGATGTACGATGGTGAAATTGGGCGGCTGGAATTAGTCCGAACAATTCCTCAGAGCACTCCCCGTGATAGAAGCGATAAAATACGCAAAGAGAAGCAACATCTCTACGCAGTGCCAATGAGTCAAGCCGATCGGAAAGAACTCGGTCGTCGACGATTTGAAACGCTCTGCGCTGGATGCGGTCAAGTGGAAGGAGCTGGCACCGGGGAGCCATTGCCCAAAGATGGGAACAGTATTCCATGTGAAGCCGAA